CTCCCTTAGGGTTTAGGGTTTAGGGTTTAGGGTTTAGGGTTTAGGGTTTAGGTTTTGTAGTATACTGACATTTACGGACCCCAAGGAATACTATGGGCGCCTTTAGGAGTATACGAATACTAAGAGACCCTAAAGCAAAATACCGGTAGTTATCTAGGCTTCTATATTACACCCGGGATCCCAAATGCCAAAGGCTTTGCTACTATGGGGTCCTCAAGCACTTCAATGGGAGTTATAGGGTTCAGGGTCAAGAATGTTTTAAACTAAGTATTCTACGAAAGACTCTTCCCAACACCCCTTAGCCCTAAACCCCTAAACCCCGAACTATTCCCAGCTATTCACACCTCTACACTCACGACCAGCGGCCACAGCGAGCACCACCCGCAGGCCCTTGCTGATATAGACATCTTTGAGATATTTCGCGATCCTGATTTGAAGGCTTTACGGCTGAGGGTTCAGGGGCTACGGTTTAGGGTTTAGGGTTTAGGGTTTTAGGGTTTAGGGTTTAGGGCCTAGTAGAGTTTTGGGGTTTAGGGAATATAATATAGGGGCCTTAATAACTAGAATAGGCTTTGGGGGGTGTATTGATTATACTAAGGAACCCCCAATTAGGGTTTTGGGGTTTTGGGATAGGCTTTGGGGGGTATACAGTATTAGAATTATAATCAGGAACCCCCAAACCCCTATTCTAATTATTCAGGCCCCTCTATTTCGACGGCTTTGAGAGACTTCGCAAGCCTGGAGAGAAGGAGGGGAAACGAATTTAGGGCTCAGGGCCCTCTTGGGGGTTGAGGGGTCATGGGGCCTAATGTAGGGGCGTCAAAAGTCAGACTAGGGTTTTGGGGTATATTATGCTATAACTAGAATAAGGAACCCCCCAAAAAAATATAGTAGGTAATTATTTAGGCCCCTACAGTAGGGAAATGAACCCAAGACCCGAACTTAAAAACAGATCGGGACCTCAATCACCCCCAAGACACACCATGCAGGGAATCGGGAGGGGCGGAAGCTGCAGAACAGGCCCCTTAACCCTAAACCCTGTATAACTAGTCGCTCAGCATTCGATCCTGCTGGAGCCGGTTTTGGGTCTCCTGGTTCGGGTTTCAGGATGTGTGACTTAAGATCGATGTGGCTAGGCTTGTAAAGCCGTCTCGAGAATGGGACCTGAGTAAAAAATATATATAGGGATACTTTATGCAAAGGTGACTATAGGGGCTACTGTATATAAGGGCTACTATAAGGGTTGCATGGTAATTATGGTGGTGGCAATTAGGGACTATAGTATCCGCCTCTATAACCCTAAACCCTAAACCCAGTAGCTAGTGGGCTTCGACCAGGAGACTTCTTGTCATCCGGCATCACGCCCGTGGTGCTGTCCACCACAAAGATCGCTGCCACGGACTCGCGCAAAGCAACATCGATCCTCAATGCAGGTTTGTAGGATTTCAGTATCCCATAAGCCCTCTAAACCCTATAAACCCTATAAACCCTAAGCCCTAAACCCCGGCTTATGCTAGGTCTTCTTGCTTCGAGGATGCGTATCTTAGCCTACACAGTGCATACACGTACAGAAGAGCAGCGTTGGGGTACCAAAGCCCTAAGAAAAAGGGAGTGAGCCTCGCTACGGCACTTCATCATGAATGAATAGCTTGCTTAGATCAACTCTGAACAAGAGCGACCAAAGGTTTAGGATTTAGGGGTTTAGGGTTTCGGGTTTGGGTTAGATCAACTCTGAACAAGAGCGACCAAAGAAATGTCCTAGTAGAGGGGCCTTAGTAGCTAGAGCAGAATTGGGTTGGGTTGTATGTTCTCCTATAAGTCTGCACGAAACAGTAAGTAAGGAAATACGATGAATACTGGTTCGGACCCCTATAGACGAACCATGGCGAACCAGCATCTAGACTGAAGACCCAAAACCCTAAACCCTAAANNCCCTAAACCCCTATACCCTAACCCCCTAAACCCCTAAACCCCTAAACCCCTAAACCCTAAACCCTAAACCCCTAAACCTTGTGCTGCAACACGAGTTTAGACCTGATTTGCTGAATGCAACAACACAAGAACCCTGATTCTGAAACTCTGCCTCCTAACCTAAGGGTTTAGGGTTTAGGGTTTAGGGCTTGATGCTAACATCCAAAACCAGAGGATCAAACAATCCCTAAAACTCGTCCCCCGGACCATAAACATGGCATGGCGGCTGATGTCGAATCTCCTCCTGGAAGCGCATCCTCAGCAAATGTCCACAGCATTGGCTGGCACTACCAAGTCTGATAGCTTTAGGGCCCTCAGCCTTAAACCCTAAACCCTTAACTCTAAACCCTAAACCCCGAGGGTTTAGGGTTTGGCACTACCGGGGATGTTTTGGAGCTGCATGGGTTTAACCCTCTACAACCTACCTTTTTATGGCTCCTGATTAAGATTTCCTTTTGCATGCTACAAGGGTTTAGGGTTTAGGGTTTAGGGGCGTTACAAGTTACTTGGGGTTACGGCAGGGTTTAGGGTTCAGAGGTTTAGGGTTGAGTAACTCGCGGGCAAGGAATCCGATTATTCAAGAAAAAAGGGTGGCTCAAAGTTCTGAGGGGCAAGACCACCCTATATAGTAAACCCGAAAAAGTTGGAAACCGGATTAAGGTCAAATAGTGCCAGGATTCCTCATACATTGCTCCTTAGCATTGAGGCTATTGGGTATCCAATTTTTGGACTCCTACTATAAGCCCTGAGATCGAAACCCGTAATTAAACCCAAGCAGCAAGCTAAACTCTGCACTCTGAACCCTAAAACCCTAACACCCCTAAACCGTCCGACATCCTTTCCGGGCCCGACGCCTGCGGTACTTGTCGAAGACCAGTCCTCCGCTATCGATGACATCGAAGAGGTACCTTAGGATTTTGGGTTTCGGGATGTCGATGACATCGAAGAGCTACCTTCTAGGGTTTAGGGTTTAGGGACGTCGATGACATCGAAGAGCTACCTTCTAGGGCTCCGTCTCGACGGGTCTATCAGGTAAAGGCTCAGTGTTTAGGGTCTAAGTTTAGGGCTCTGTCTAAACGGTTCTATAGGGGTGACAACATTGTTTCTTGTGTTCATAAGCCAGTTTAGGGTTTAGGATTTAGAGGTTTCGGGTTCAGGGTTTAGGGTTTTCCGGTACCCTTGGGCTTCTCTTGCCAGGATCTACAAAGGTTGCTATATATATATATATACACGATAAACAACCTTAGGGTATAGGACGTTAGGACTTTGGGGGGTTTAGAGTTTTCGGATATCTTCGGGTTACTTGCTTAAGGGTATCTTAGGCGCGTACTGTAAGTATAAGGACACTTTATTCGTCCTTCGGGATTGGGCTCAGGGGTTGGGCTTAGGAATAAAGGGGTTTTGGGTGTAGGATCAGTTTATCCCTTAGGGTTCGAAAATTGGATCGTAGGAATTTAGGATGTAGAGTTTGGGGTTACGGGATAGGCGTTCAGGGCTACAGCATTTGCGATCAACGAATGTCCTGAATCCTCTGTCAACTACTAGCCTTACTGGCCCTGATCCTGAATTTTCAAGCACTTAAAGAGTATGTACCTGGCCCCACAAGTACTTCATGGGATGTCGTCTGGGGATGGTATTCTGTTCCTGTTGGGGTACCAGGGTCCTTGTGCGCCAAACCCTTCACCCCTATATCAAAATTCGAAAGCCTAGCAGGGCCTAGCACCCGGAACCCGACTCCAAAACATGACGCCTTCGCATATCTTGCGGCTCACTTGGGTTGCTGGCAGGACGGTACAGGAGCAGGGTTTAGGGTTGTGGTTATCCGACGTATGGGGCTCAAAACTCAAAAGCTAAACCCTAAACCCCCAAAGCCTTAACCCGAAACCCCTGAAACCTTAAATTCCCGATTCCAGATGACTCCCTGGATTTTCGAGTGGAGACGGGGCTGGAAAACTTGAAGCCATCCAGGCATCGTTCGGGCGTACTTATTGGACATAGGGCCCAGGGTGGAAGGACAGTCGGTTCAGGATTGTTTCCTCGTGATGTAGGGGCCTTAAAAATTAGAAGAGGGTCTTGGGGTAAATTATATATATATATATATAATAACAACAAGGAACCCCAAAAAATATATCGGTGGAGTATATTAGGACTCTATCTTACCTCGTAAAAGCTCTTTTCCTGCCTGGCTCAGCGTCTCGGTGTAGAGCTTCAGATTGAGGCACAGGGCCAGGGTTCCATGTGGCTCTGTGGGCTTGTGCTGTTGTTTGGTGCCCCCCCCCCTCCCTAAACCCTAAACCCTAAACCCTAAACCCTAAACAAGAAGGTGCGGGAGGGGGGGGGGGGGAAGGCCGGGAGGTTTCGGAGCCCAGGGTTGCTGTAGGGGTTCAGTTAGGGTTTAGGGTTTAGGGTTTAGGGTTTAGGGTCTAGGGTTCAAGAATGGGTAGTTCTCCAAATTCGGATCCCTTTTAGGGTGCCTGGCCTAATTCAGAGAACTACCCATATAGAACCCTTATAGTGCCCTTACGGATCCCTACAGAAACCCTTTCAGATCGCTTTAAGGAACCCAAAGACTCTAAGAAAAGACCCTGACTTAGACAACTACCCCCATGCTTCCGGGTCTGGTTCCGTTTTCGGCCCGCTGATCTGTCGTTGATACACCACATTTGTGGAAGAGAATGGGCTGGGTACTGCCCCCCATCAAGGAACAGTCTAAATAAACATATATATATATAACATATGTGTGCATATATATATATATATTTATATTTATATGCAGAGACAAATAGATATTATTAATATTGTTCAACTGTTACTGAGTGGGGGCAGTGTCCAAAGAGTGGGCAACAAAAGTTAAACGAGCATCCAATTTAGCAATACTTAACTGTATCCCCAAGTGCCACAAAATAGTAGGCTCTGACCCAAAGTAAGGCATACTCACTCCCAAGTAGTGCCAATTTAACAATAGGCAAGTGGAGCCACAGGTACAATCTTTAAAACCTTTGACCGGACCCCATAAGTTCATACATAGCTTAAACCTGAGTCCAGAGCTGGAGGCACTCCCGTGTCGGCATTCCAGAGACGCGAACATCAAGAAAGCGGTCTTCGCGGATTGAGCCTCGTATCTGCGAGCGCACTTCAGTGCAGGATGGCAGCCGCACATCCACAGAAGCATTGAAGCATGGCCCACCAGTGTAGTTGGCGGCAGTCTTATTCGTAGCATATCTCACACAGGACGTCGCTGAATTGTCTACCAAGACCTGGCGGCGTCTTGAAGTTAGCAATGCCTTATACAACGGCCTTTCCCTTATGATCTGATTCGCTGACTTAGCGTCGCCTCTTTCCTGACCTAAACCCTAAACCCTAAACCCTAAACCCCTAAGCCCCGCCTTGAGATTGAAGTAGCGCGCGTAGATCGTCACGACCTTACGAAGGACAGCCACCGAGCAGCCGTTCTCCGGCGTGCAGAAAGATCCCTTGAGCAGCGTCCAGATGCTGCTCGTGTAGGCGCCTCAGGAGCAACGGTTTAGGGTTTAGGGTTTAGGGTTTAGCTAGTCTAGGCGCCTCAGGAGCAGGGGGAAGGCTTAGGGCTTATAAGGGCCTTAATAATTAGAAATAGGGTTTTTGGGGGGGGCCTTTCAAGGGTTCCTCAAAAGGGATACTACAAGGGCTTAGGGTTTAAGGGCCTTGAAAAAATGAGAACATGGGTTGTTAGAGTAAGTTACAGCATAAGCATATGGGAGCGACAGGGATATGATTCAGACTTCGAGCCCCCCACGTAAGCCTCAAAACCCCCAAACTCGAAACTCAACCCCCCTGAAAGCCCGAAGCCTGAAACCCGAAGCCTTATAACCCTAAACCCTAAACCGTTAAACCCTCAAAGCAACCCCTTGCGTCAAACTCATCGATCTCCCCCTCCCAAGATCCCTCGAATTTAGATCCTAATCAGTAGGATCTTGACGATAGGTTTTCGTGGGGTTTTGGGGTATATTATACTATATCCTATAATAAGGAACCCCACCAAAATAATGTAGGTAATTATATGAAGGCCCCTAAACTAGGGTTGAGGGTGGGAGCCTCACTAAATAAGGCTTGAAGGGGTTTAGGGTTCAGGGTTTAGGGTTTAAGGTGTAGGGTTTCGGGTTTCGGGTTTCGGGTTTAGGGTTTGCTTTAGGCACGGAGGGTTTAGGGTTTAGGGGACTTCCCAACATCTCCTGAGAAGCTCCCAAGAATGGGGCTTTCAGGACGTTAGGGGGTGATCCTTAAAAGGGATCCTACTAACTGGGGTGCTATGTATTCGGGTCCCTTATCCTAAATAACCCTGAAATCCTAAACCCGTAACCCTATAAGCCCTAAACCCCTACGCTCCTTAAGCTCCTGAATGGATAGGGTTTAGGGTTTAGGGTTTAGGGTTTAGGGTTTAGGGTTTAGGCTTTAGGGTTCAGGGTTCAGGGCTTAGGGCTTAGGGTTTCTCTCGCCTGTGGACTTCGCATAGGCGACTTCAGCTTGGTAGACTTGAGCCAGGACGTATCCTGGGCTCTTCCAGGGATCCAAAAAGGTTCTTAGGAGTGTTCCCTTAAAGTGTTCCAAAAAGCAGACTTAAATTTCAAAAACAGAAACACCTATAAAATCCTAGTTACACTTTAAAAATCTGTAGGCCTCTTTTTAATTTTATAAATACAATCCCTACAACACTGCAGCAAGTAGGAGTACTTCAAACAGAAGTATCGCGCAGGCCACTCAATGTTGCCGCAGAGCTCTTCACCCTCCGGTCCAGCGAACCTCATCGGTCACAGTGACGGTTTAGGGTTTAGGGGTTAAGGGTTTTAGGGTTTAGGCTTCAGGGTCTACCATAACCGATTTTGGTATGGTCTTTCTTAGAAACCACAGTATAACAATTATGGGGACACTACCCAAGGATAGCTCTTGGTAACTACTGGGCCAGACCTTAAGCCTTAAATCTAGACCCCTAAACAGACGTGTTCCCAATACTGATTATGATTCAGAGAGTACCCTAAACCCTAACCCTAAACCAGTAGTCTTTAGGGGCCTGAACCTAGACCCTCCCCAGTAATCAGAAACCCGATAAGAATAGTAGTAATAGTAATGATAATACTCATAATAATAGGAATAATAGGGTTTAGGGTTTAGGGCTTAGGGTCCTCTAAGACTCGAACAGAGATCAAGGACCCACAACCCCAAACCATGAACGCTCTATAAACCCTATAGTAAAACTCCCAAAAAGTTGAAAACCGGATGAAGGACAATTAGTGCTGGGATTCCCTGTGCATTGCTCTTACGCCTTGAGGCTAGTAGGTTTAGAACTTTCTGGGCTTCTACTGTCATCCCTAACAATCTACTAAACCCCTAAACTCCTAAACCCCAAAGCCCTAAACCCTGAACCCCAAAGCCTAAACCCTGAACCCCAAAGCCCTAAACCCTGAACCCCAAAGCCTAAACCCTGAACCCCAAAGCCTAAACCCTGAACCCCAAAGCCTAAACCCTGAACCCCAAAGCCTAAACCCTGAACCCCAAAGCCCTAAACCAAGATGCTGTAGGAACCCAAAGGTGTCCGGATTGTGCATGTAGCGATGGCCTCCCACAGGCTGCCAGACCCACTCCCAGTAGCAGCTCCACTGATCCGCTCCCAAAAGCGTCGGCTGATCCTTCGGGGTGCAGATACTTTGTGCTTCGGGTTTATATGGTTTAGGGTTTAGGGTTTAGGGTTTAGCGTGTGGTAGTTTAGGGTATCACGTCACGTCTGTGCTACAGAAGATGTGATCTAGCGGCGCTACTGCTGCTGCTTCAACAGCTTGAATCAAGATTTTCATGCACGACCTTGTGACCTTCTTCTGCGGGTCCTTCTGAATGGACGGACAGAGCTGTCCAAAGAGGGACGAGTTCGACGTGAAGAAGGGGTGCTCTGCACGCGAGAAGTCCACCGACCAATACTTCGCACCTGCATTCGGATCGAACCTCTCAGGGGCAGATGTTTGATCTATAGCATATTACACTCTAAACCCAGAAACCCCCAATATAGGGGTTGTGGAATCCATATTGTTTTGGAAAATATTCGAATATAGTATAAGCTATTACGCGAAACCCCCAAATCCGAAATCCAGAACCCTAAACCCCAAAACCCTAAACCCCAAAGCCCTAAACTTAAACCCAAAGACCTAAACACCCTCAACCCCAAAGCCCTAAACTCAAACCCCAAAGCCCTCAACCTCAAGGCCTTAAACCCCCAAACCCCAAATAACAAGCCAGAACCCTAAATCCCAAACGACCCCAGCCTCTCAGCCAAGGAGGTACCTTGGCCTGCCGAGAGGAGCCCACCAATGCCATCGGCAGGGTGCAGCGGAAAGGCGATCTCCACCTTACGGTTTAGGGTTGAGGGTTGAGGGTTGAGGGTTTAGGGTTTAGGGTTTAGGGTTCAGGGTTTAGGGTTCAGGGTTGCGGTTTAAGATTTTGAGGTTGAGAGTTCAGGGTTTAGGCCTGTCCCATGGCTTCAGAAACCTCAAGCCCGCAAACCTACACACTGAACCCTAAACCCATAACACCAGTAAGCCCTCCAGCCATAAACCCTAAACTACGTACTGGTAGCAGCCAGCTTTAGGGCTCATGCTGCGGTTTCCCGGAGTGGCGTGCAGAATGTGTGGATTTAGGGTTTAGGGTTTCGTCCAAAGGTTCAGATACACCACTCAACCCGCAGCACTCCGAATAGTGCAGGGTGCATTGCATCTAGAAACTTCAGACCCGAAGAACAGCCAATTACAAACAAAACGAAGATCCCGTAATATGGCCTTGGTACCATTTCATAGGCAAAGAACCTAGTGATTAGGCACTAGGGTTTAGGATACAAGAACTGGTGTATCAGTATTTTCTGGAGTAGACGAGGAGTAGATATCGACTTGGACCTAGATCCTAAACCCTAAACCAACACTGGAGCCAAACTGAACTCTAAGCCCTAAATCCCAAAGCCCCTAAAGACCTCAAACCGAAGCCCTAGATCCCTTAAGCCCTAAGCGCTTAACCCCCCAAAACCCCAAACCCCTAAGCTTAACCCTAAACCACGAAAATGTTGACCGCCGAGGGACCGTCCATCCCTTTGTAGCCCAGCCCTCAGCCCTGGCTGTAGCTGTCTTCATGTTTGGATACATCCTCGGTCGGCTGGTTAGGGTTTAGGGTTTAGGATTTAGGGTTTAGGGTTTAGGGGGGTTTAGGGTTTAGGGTTTAGGGTTTGGAGTTTTAGAAAGGTTCTGAGAGAAAGACAGAGACAGATAAAGAGAACGGCGTAATGTAGGGGCCTTGATAATTAGACTAGGGTTTTGGGGTATATTATACTATATCTATAAAAAGGAACCCCCAAATAGTATTGGTAATTATTGAGGCGCCTACATTAGTAATGTAAGAGCCGAAAGTTTCGTGCGACAATGCCCTAGGGCTCCCATCTATCAATGCTTGCTTGCCCTTGTACACATGTTTTGGTGATGTGTCTGTCGTCCTCTGTTTCGCTTCGTCAACACATCCACCCCCGATGCTCGATTTTAATTACTACGGCCGCTGTGTTACAAAGAAGCAGGTCCAAACAGCTTTTCTAGCTCAGGGAAGATGTGAGAAGCAAGAGGGAAACATGCAACATGAACATCTTCCCTGCTGGTGCAACCGTGTATCAGCAATGTCCGACAAGTGCTTGTCTGCTTGTCCACATATATATATATATACCTAAACCCAAAACCCATACCCTACACCCTACAACCTACCCCGTCCATGCTAAACCGAGGGCTCACATATACAGCTTATACTTCTACAGTACACATAGATGGGTGGCTTTAGAACAACTCTTCAGCCCCCCATCCCCAGAGCCTTCGAACCGTTCGCCGAAGCTACAAAGCAAGACTTCTCAAGAGTAATGGAGGCGCCTTAGTACTTAGAAGAGGGTTTTGCCGGGCTTTGCGGTATACTATAATCATAAAAAGAACCCCCCCAAAGTAGTGTTGGTAATCATTTAGGCCCCTATAGTATTTGATGCCAGCATCGACCATGTCCCCCCGAAAGGTGGCCACGAGGAGTTCTGGCAGTACCTGGACACTTTCAGGGTTTAGGGTTTAGGGTTTAGGATTTAGGGTGTATGAACTACAATAGGCCTTTTGCGGTGTATACTAGCCGCTGAGCTCCCTTGTAGTGTTTTATGGTCCAAGGGCTCTTTGGCTTCTGGCAGGGTTATCCGCAAACAGAGATACCCTAAACCCTCAACCCTAAACCCAATGAGAGCCGCCTGTGCAACTGCTAACCTTACCATCCCGACATACTGCTGCAATGATGCAGTACTTGCAGTACTCACAGCTGAACCCTGAACCCCTAAATCCCTAAACCCAAAACCTAAACTCTAAACCCTAAGACTCTACTAGCAGCTAGTTCCTGCAAGGCTGTCATGTCATCCCTGCTCCCTCCTCACTGCAGTCAGCGAGGTCGAGCCTGAATCTGTCTACATTAGTAGAGCGCGCCTTAAGGTAATACTGGGTTTAGGGTTTAAGGATTAGGGGTTTAGGGGTTTAAGGGTTTAGGGTTTAGGGGAGGACCCTAATCTATGGGAATTACAGTACATTCCTTATTATAGGTAATGCAGGGTATATATATATATATATAATATATATATATATATAAAAAATATATATATATAATATCAACGGTACGGGTGTCCATCTTTAGCTTTGGGTCGCTTTGGCTACTTGTGGTGCTGGGTGTTTGCATGAGGGACCTAAGGCCAAAACACTAAACACCCTGAACCCTAGACACCCTTAACCCTAGATCTTACCTAGACCCCCCAACGGCCCTCTAATATACCCAGGAGACCCACTATTAAGGACCATAAGACATCCATTAAAGGGTACTTGAAGGGGGGGATCCTGGTAAAACCCCACAAGTTTCCCCAAAAGCCCGGAAGTCCCACCTCTCGCAAGAAGAGTCGGTGATGGAACAGCATGGAACTCCGGTGGAGCCCAGTCCACTATCTGGCACACGCCAAAGCACATCATAGGTCGCGTTGTTGAAGTTCATTTCCTAGGCTCATGATGCCAAATGGAATCTCTTCCAGTCTCTCTCTCTCTCTCTCTCTCCCTCTCTCCCTCTCTCTCTCTCTCGCACGCTCTTTTATATAGAAGCTTTATTAATTAGAACAGGGCTTTTATACTATAACGAACCCCCAAAATAGCACAAGTAATTATTTAGGCCCCTACGTTATCTCTCTCTTGCTTGCTTGCTGGGCGTTTGCTC